CGCGCACACATCGTCACAATCACGCGGCGAGATCGAGCGCGAATTGTGCCGTACGGACGGAGCGACTCGGTAGTTCCGAATGATCGTGAGCACCTCGTACGCGAGTGTCCGTAAATCTTTTTATTTCACTGAACTGTGAGGAAACTGCGTAATACAATTTGACTGTGCAACTTTTATAATAAAACGAGAATGAGAGAGAAAGAGAAAATGGAGGAAAAACGCGATTCGGTACTCGTGGAAAATTGCGTCACTTTACGGTCCTCTGGCAAATCACGTCATTCAGGTGGAGTAGCTCGGGAGATTGCTGCAACTAGTTTAATCTTGTGTCACAAAGTAACGAGAGAGAGAGAGAGAGAGAGAGAGGGAGGGAGATGGGGGAAGAGAGAGAGAGAGAGATATATAAAAAGAGAACGATTTTCGGTGTTGCCCGCGAAAATAGCCGACGCGCGCGCTTTAAAACCCGCACGCGAACGACGCCCTCTCGCTGGCGCTGAGACTCATATTGCTTTCCCGCGCTTGTACGCCTCCACGAGCTTCTTTTGTTACGGCGGCAATCGTTGCGCCTTCTTTCGCCATGAATATATGCATAAACCGTTTCTATACGAACAGCGCATATAATGCCCGCTACTTTGTAGTACAAGCGAGGCCTCCCTCTCCTCCTTCTCTCTTTGCCTTTCGATGTGTATGCCGTGGAGGTTAATCCTGTCGGGGCAATTTCGTCCCAACTTGCCGTGTACTTATACAGATACCGTAGCCACGCTATAAGCCGGCTGAAATTCCCCGAGCACGCGAGAGCGGTGTGCGTGACGCACGTGGTACGAGAGCGACGGTCGCGGGAGAGACGTTCGCGGTCTCTCGCTCGAAAGACGTCTCCTTCCGTTGCGACTACTCACGAGATCGGCTCCATTAAATATCGCTTTAGGGGGAGGCGATACGGTGGGATACAAAGAAAGAGAGAGAGAGAGAGAGAGAGAGAAGAAAGAGCGTGCATATGTTCGCTTATTTTCCGAAATACCCTAATAATAGGGGTGAGTTCGCGGCGGCGATCATACAGTGGTATGATTGGCCTGAAAAGCTGGCCAAAAGTCAATTTTCTTAAAATCATTCCCGCTCTACATGAATGACTGACTTAGACAGTTGAATATCTGTGGAATAATGGGCCGCTATGCGTTTGTTCGGTCGCGATAACAAGAAGCGGTTTGGTTAGTCGGAATTTCGATATTATTCGTATTGCGCGCATCAATTCTCAGCGATTTATAACACACGATCTTCGATCAGAATGTTAAGGTTCTTAGAAGTGGCAGCGCGACATTTTTCGTTATGGATTGCTTCGAGAAAGGTACGAAGAAACGTTTTAGGCTATATTTATTACAATTGAATTGTTACTCACGTGGATATACGATTTTGAAAGCAGCGTTCAATAATATATCTTTTTGCCTTCTCGATGTCAAACTCGAAAGATTGAATTATACTTCAGGGTGTATCCCTGTTACGTCTCTTGGATGAAATGAAAGAGGTAATCTCTCAGGATAAAATATCAGAAAGAATTAGCCGCGGAAAAGCGCGGATGTAGTTTTAGTAATTACTTTTGTTTCTCTAAACATACATTAGGTTATCGTCCGGAGGACGAATTTAGACATGAAGTTTCTTTTCGTTTCCTCTTGTTCTTTTCTTGTTTCCTTTTTGCAATATGAACATAATCAACAGACTCCTACTAAGTTCTGACTTACCGTTACCAACAAACATGAGACCCGTACCAAGAAAGAAGTCTAAACCATTTTTAAAGGAAACATTGTACATGCTTCTTCTCACTGACCCCACACCAAAAAGAGGAGATATTTCAACAGATGAAAATGACGTTGATTCTCAGGACGGAATGCACTCATTAGACGAAGAAATTTGGAGCTTGTCCAGTTGAATATTTACTGATGTGCAAACTTATGCTTTCTTAATTATTAAAATATTTTCACATATATATTTGCATGTTGTTTCATGAAAACTTACACGTACATCTGTTTAATGATCATATATACAATTAGTAGCACGTTTTAAACCGAAATTCGTCAAGAGATAATTTTGGCCAACTTTTTTGGTACAAACATTCCACCGTGCGGCGGCGCCGCCGCGTGACGGGGAACGGCACGTAATGATACATAGAGGAAGATCGATAAACGTCGCGCGGCAAGTTTCTCGCGAGGAGGCAGCTGACGCGCGAAGATTACCACCGTCGGTTTCGCCGTCTGGATTTTTATTGGCAGCAATAGGAATGAGGGCTGACAAGAGATTGATGTATGTGCCCCAGAATCGGAGTCGCGCGCGTACCTTTCTCAGCTTGTTTTATTACTTCACACGCGCACCTCCGCGCGTTATATCTCTCGCACCATCGTCTCCCTCCTCTCTCTCTCTCTCTCTCTCTCTCTCTCTCTCTTTCTCTCGCACTTTTCCCTTGTACGTGCCGCAAGTTCTCTTCCCTCTCGCTCGTCGCAGCCCGTCAGCACCCTCTCAGCGGTGAGGGCTCGCTCGCGCGCACGATGAACTGAAGAAACCGGCGCGCTGCGCACGTCCATGCGTCGCTGCGCGATCGATCGGATCTGCACTGACCGTGCGGCTTGAGCGAAGGGTGACCGTACCTGTAAGCCGCGCATAATTTTCACCCTCGCCGCCTTGTGCTCGCCGCAGCGGTAAATACCGGAAGCGCGGAGCGCTTTTTTCTCTCGGGACACTCCGCAGAGGCGGCGACTCGGATGACGGCATGATCGCTCTATTATCAGGCATTGTATCACACCGAGGCATGAGACATTAGAAACGCGGAGAAACATGTGTAAGAGCGCGGGAACAAAAGAGAAAAAAAGAAAAGAGAGAGAGAGAGAGAGGGATGAATAGGAATACGAAAGCAGCAGAGTTGCAGATGTGCGTGCGCTTTTTATCCATTCTTCATTCGCGTTTCTAGTTAAATCAGCGACTTCGAGGAAAAAGTAAGAGGTACGAGAGAAGACAATTTATTCGATGAAAAATTAATCTAATCGAACTTGAGAAATGTATAATTACTTCCTCTCTCGATTTCACCGCTCGCGCACAGTTCAATTGCCTTTGGTTTAGCCTCGTGCTTTCAAAGCGCACTCCATTTGCGCCCGAGTGACAGATTCAATGCGTCGCGCGGGGAAACTTCACAGTAACGACTCTTTTGCGCGGAGGCGTTCGTACACGCGCCGCGTATAATCCGTAATCACGGAAAACTCATAGCTACATTGTCTCCGCGAATGGCCGTTCGCGCGCGGGAACAATTCGCGTGCGTAGTTTCGGTGAGCGCATATGAGCCGACGATGAGAGCGAGAAAGAAGGATATAAAGAAAGGGAGAGAGAGAGAGAGAGAGAGAGAGAGAGAGGAAGAGGAGAAACATCGCGGCGAAAAGTCATGCCTCGTTAGAAGCGCAGGAAGTATGCGGTGCTTGTTACACGCGCAGAAAACCACATAACTATGCAGTGGTTGTGTGTACGCGTGACTTTATGTGCCGCGCGCACTTCCATGTGTTCTGTTTATCCGGCCGACGGACACGGATGCATTAATTTAGCTCGGTTGCATATCTGCGGCACCGAACTACCGCCAGAGTCACCGCGCGCTGCCTCCGGAAAAAGGACCAGAACGAACGGCGAGCATTTATCTCTTCCCGATGCTGGATCCGCCGGCATTACAGCGCCGCCCTCCCTCGACACCCCTCCGACACTCGCGGTTATTGCAAAAACGTATCGAGCGCACGTCGACATTTCGCGTTTGCCGCGACGATATGATCGTCAGGCGGCCGTATCTTCGGCGAGACGGGGAGTATCGCGTAAAAAGCAATTTGGAAAATTGCTTTTTACGCGACGATAAAACTCGTAATTAGATGAGAGGAGAAACTCCGTCCCAGTCGACTTGGTCTCTTCTCCTCCGTCTTTTCCCTCTCTCTCTCTCTCTCTCTCTCTCCCTCTCTCTCTCTCTCTCTCTCCTCTCTCTCTCTCTCTCTCTCTCTCTCTCTCTCTCTCTCTCTCTCTCTCTCTCTCTCTCTCTCTCTCTCTCTCTCTCTCTCTCTCTCTCTTTAATGAGAAGAACTCGGCCATACGATATCAAAGTTAACATCGAGCAATAGATCGCGTGCTTGCCATCGCTTGGCCCGCGAGAGAGCGTTCACTTTGCCGATGAACGTTAATTCATCGCGGCGGCGCATTGGATCACGACGAGTATACGCGCGCTATTATATTATAGGACCATAATAACGCTGGTACGTGTCCCCGGCGGTAAATCAGATGAACGGCCGCGCAAACGCAAATACGTGCGATACATATTCACACGCTTTTAGCCCGGCATCTCGGTCTCTATGCAAATAAACGCGACGACTGCAGCGGCCGCGCGCGCGTATGTACGCACGCGTGTGTTAAGATAGAATAATGCAGAACACTTTTCGGCGGATTATATTATCCAGACTTAATATTCTCCCTGCGTATATGGTACTTTCCCTACTTTATTCCCGCTGTTCCGCGCGATCTTAACGGCAGGAAAGAAAACGGGAGAAAATGGGGAAAAAAAAAAGGAAAGCGGCAACGCGTTAATATTCTACGGACGTGCGTGCAGTTACAGCACAGCGAGCGATTTCCCAGTCGTTACAAATATTCCGTAACCAGCGCATTCACGAAATGAAATATTTATAATTCTCATCTGAGGTCGCCTGCGCTTTGGCGTGAAAAATCTATATATATATATCTATATATATAGTCAGTTGTGAAATTCGCCTGACAAATTCGCATCCTCTGTCCCCAGTTTCGACGTTTCGAGAAACGAGAAGAAGAAGAATCTGAGCTACGAGCGATTGACTCGACGGGCGACTGCTCGTCGCGAAACCTGCGACAATGAGTCGTTGATAAAATTCACGATCGCCCGACAGCGGAAATACCATTTAAATTAAAGCCGCCGTCGGCCGTGGAAATACGATACGCGAGAGAGAAAGAAATACCGCCGAGCTTACCTGTTCAGTCTAATGGTGCTCTTCGTCTCCCGCACCATCAACGCTCGTTCCCAGAAATGCACGGCCTCGGGCAGAATGGTATTCTGAAATCGAACGACAAGCAGACTTTAAATTAAAGGGACATGCGGTGCGACGAACGGCGTTCGACAGACATCTACCTCGCATCCGCCCCCGCCACTGCGCGCGCGCTGCACGTGTGCGGATTCCGCAGGCTGAACTTAACTCAAAGCACCGTCTCGCTCGGGGGCCACGGCGATGAGGGAGAAGAATAAAAGGACGAGGAAACAGCGGGAAAGAAAAGAAGAGGGATCCGGGGGCATTCGCGGGAAATATCATCGCGAGCCGCACCACCGCCGCCGCCGCCGCCACCGCCAAGTGGGATAACATAGCCGCTGTTACGCAACAACGTTCCGCGGTGAAACGCGAAATCGCGTGTGGAGCGAAGGGATCCGTGCGGACACGGTGAAAAACGGCGGAAGAATGGAACAACGCGAGCCCCGACAGATGGAAAAAGCGCGCGCGCCGTCCGGCTTTATGAAGTTTCGCCGGCGTGCAACAACAAAATTACGCGCCTCTATAATGCAGCGCAATCGCGGTCTTGCGAAGGGGCTGCGATGCTTTTCGGGGTTAATCCCGGCTAACGGTGTCGGTTCGCGCTGCAATTTTTAGCCGCCGCGCCGGTGACGCGATCGCGCGAAAGGATCGCGCTCTGACGTTGATCCCAGAGGAACGTGCCTCTGTCCTGGCATTTATCATCGCGATTGCACGCACCGCGTCCTCACGTTGGCTTCGATTCTTCATGTCGAGAGAGAGAGAGAGAGAGAGAGAGTGCTGATGCCCGTACGGGGGAATTACCGTGACGTGCCATATCGCGAGATCGAGCCGGTAGCGTATTTCCTTCCCACGGGGATCAGCGGAAACTAAGGGAGCGTTAATTAAAGGAAAAAAAAAAGACGAAAAGGAAAACCGGACAGCGGGAGGAGCGCGGAAATTTCATCGTAAAGTCGCGCGATTTCGTCGCGACGAAATGGAATCGCGTCGTTGGATACATGAACAGACACGCGGCTTTTATAATGCGGTTTTTATTCCTCGAGGATGATATTTGCGAGGAAGGCAGGAAGAAAGAGAGAGAGAGAGAGAGAGAGAGAGAGAGAGAGAGAGAGAGAGAGAGAGAGAGAGAGAGAGAGTGGAGAGGGGGAGGAGGAGAAGAGAAAGGCAAAAGAGAAAAGAGACCCGAAAGCCCAGGGTATTCCCCGAGGGCAAATACAAGACTAAAAAGAGGCAAAGAGGAACAACAGTCCGGCATAATATACCTTAATAATTATAAATGCCTGCGACTAAGAAACGGCAGAGATATTTTTCGTTATATTTTCTTTCTTCCACGGAGCAAGGCTTCGTAGAATTGTCTTTCTCTTGATAAGACGGCGGTGTCTGCGACCAACGGAATTCTAAAGCGGCGGTTGTCTTGACACGTTCCAAATATCGAGATCTCACGATACGCGGAGATGTGGTGGAGTTGGTGGCGAGATTAAGTGCTAATCTTATCACATAACGCGTATTGTTTCAAAATTCCGTCTTTTCGATCGCTCCGGTCAAGACGAAAATAATGTAAAATGCAAATTTCTCGCGTGCCTTTAGACGGACAGATCGTTTCTCGAGCGATCTTCCTCCGCGAACAACGGTTGCTCTCTCTTTCGAGCACTTATTTCTTCTTTTATTTCGGCAAACATCGAAGAAGCGCGAAAAGAAAGAAATAGCGTACATTACTTCCGGCTACTTCGAACGAACGCGGTCGTTACCGTCCGTGAGCAGGAGATTGAGGCAGCAACGCGCGGAAAGAGGGAGAGAGAGAGAGAGAGAGAGAGAGAGAGAGAGAGAGAGAGAGAGAGAGAGAGAGAGAGAGAGAGAGAGAGAAAGAAAGAAAGAACTTTACGTTCGAACGAACGTACGTCATTAATATCGGCCTAGTGGCGAGCTCCTGATAATTAAAACGGACTCGAGCGAATGGAAGCTCGAACGCGCGAGCGCTTGATTTCCTTTGTCCGCAATTATTTTTCGCCGATTGCATCGTGGAAGGAAACCACCGTTAACAGCCTCGCGTTCGTGCTGGCGCGCGCGTTTCCATTACATTTTCTTCCTATTTACGGGCGCTCAGAGAGAAAATCAACTGTCGCATTGCCAGGAAATTATGATTCGAGACCGATATTCTGTTTGTTTAATAACGCAAGACCGTTTCAGGAGATAACAGCGCACCCCCCATCTCGCCGGTGTAATCTTCCGCTGCGAAAAAACGCTAAAACGGTTATTTGATGTGACAGTTAAGATGTGAAGCTCGTGTGTCAGGAAGAAACGCAAAATAAAATTCACACGCTGCGCGCGGGAAGGAGTGCCCGGAGATACGCGTGTCAATATGTTCCAGATATATAAATACAGAAACAGGTCGCAAAAAAAGCTGCTCTGTAAGCACATGTCGCATGCAACGTATTTTTCAAATCACACAAGCGCGGCGGTGAAGAGATTTTATTATGTGGAATATTGATAGGTATTTTTCTGACACACCGGTGTCGGTGTCGTGGATATTGGATTAAATTCGGACCCCGGACGCTACCGATATCTGTCAGGGTTCGTCAAAAAATTTTTTTCAACCCATCGCTTCCAAATTACCTTCAAATATCGAAAAATTACATATTTAAATATTTCTTCCCGCCGGTCAGCGGTAGCCGGGGTATATAAAATATACGAAAAATGATTCGCTTAATTGTTGGCGATCAATCTGCAATTCTCTCTCGTTCGTTCCACGTTCATTTATCTCTCGTTCACCTCCGCGCGATTGCGCACACTCGCCGTCGACGGGATTATTTCCCGATGTATTATTCGAAGAAGCTAATGTGAAGTTAGCGCGTCGACCGTCACGATTGATAATCTTTCCAACACGCGAGATTGTTGCCCCCCTCGACAAGATCGATTTCTTTCGGTCGCCCGTGACTCTGTGAGAAATCCATTCGCGTCACGCTTAATCGGGCGCCGTAATTATCGCGGCGCAGTCATCTCGGAAATTCGACCGGGATGTATTTAAACGGTGACAAGCGGCGGGCTGCGCGCTCGGAGGCGAAATAATACGTAATACGTACCACCGGACGAGGGGAGCGAGGGGGTGGCTACTGCGCGGCGGGGACTGCGCTCGCGCACTGGTAACTTATTTAAGGAAAAAGCGGACAGAGCTGACCGCAAGAACGTGAAAAGGGTGGAATACGAAATTGAGCGCGGACAGGTACAGCGGCCAATGTTTGGAGGCATTTTGCGCCTCGTTACGCTCGATTTCCGCGATGAATAAATCGATACGCGCGCGCCCGATAAAACATAAAGAGAGAAAACTACCTGGCCCGCGCGCCCGCCACCGTAGTTATTTTATTACACACATATATTTCATTACACACACACACACACACACACACACACACACACATGTGTATATTTTTCCCTCCAATTTTTTTTAACAGCCCGGTCTCACAGAGCGGTCGCAGTCGCAGTTGCAGCCGTAGCGCGACGCGAGGAGGAGCGCAAGATGGGAAGAGACGCGCGCGCACGCGACAACTGGCCGATTATTGTTGACAGAGACGACACGCGGGCGCTCTCGCAAAATTATTCACGAACCGTCGCGCGAGGCCGAATTCAATTTGGCGCTGCGTCAACGCCCGCCGGAAAAAAAGGGAGAAGTAAAACGAGAACGGCGAGGTGGACGGACGCTAAAAGGGCTCCGGAGGATGAGAGAGATCCGGCAGAGGGTTGGTCACTCACTCCTTCGCACTCTCCGGCCGCCAGCCTCTCTTGGTTTTTTAGCAGACCCGCCGGATTCCACAGCCATGACGGTGGACGGTAACGCTCCGGTCCCCGGAAACGACCTATTTAGCGTATGCGACCGCCAGCTGGCTCCATCGTAGAATTCCGAGCGATTAAATCGGCCTCCTGGATTTTATTTATCGCGAGTCCCGCGTGCGCGCGCGCGCGCGCGCGTAATGTACTCGGCCGGTTACGGAGAGGTGCGATCCTGAAAACGAGAGCCTCGACGAACGAGCGTGATAATTATCACGAGGCAGCTCGTGACGTCTCACACAGGCTGACGTCGAGTCGGCGGGATTCCGCCGGGGGGAAATATTATATATGCGTGCGACACACGACGTGGCTGAGATGCACCCGAGAAGCTTCTCCAAACGGCGGCGACGACGACGACGACGACGACGACGACGACGACGACGGCGGCGGTGGTAGCGATGGGGTAAAAGGGAAGATACACTTTTAGCCGGGAGTGCATCAACGGATTGAGGCGGAAAGGAAAATAATCCGCGCTGAGATCACATCCTCCTCGAAATCACTCGCGAGATTTTCATCCGTTACGATGGGATTCCGCGGTAACGTGGATAAACACGGCGAAGATACACCTGTCAAAACTCCCGAGCTCTCGAGAGCTCGCGGACCAGTCGCAATATTATTTCATCCCCCTAAATACACAGAGATCTTTATCAAAATTCTATCGTATCGCCCCCCGCGCACGGTGAATCCGTGGGACATTCCGCGATCATGACTCGAGCACGGCCGACTGGAAGTTTCGCGATGCTTCGTCGCGGAAGCAAATCGCTGCTTCATTGAAGGGCCCTGATACATCCTCTTTCCTCGCGAACGCACGTCACGCGAATACTTTGACGAGCTCGACTACTTGCGAAAATTTCGAGAGTAGCTTCAACTTGCCGGCGAATCCGAGGGGAAGTAGCCTCGGAAGTGCGACTTTGCGCTCGTAAGCGTCGAAGTTGCGATCAATAACGTCCTTCGCCGAGACTTCGATAACGAAAGCCGACGCCGACGTCGGCTTGAAAATTCCCTCAACTTCGTCCATAATGGCAATCGCGCTTTAAGGCGCCGCCGACCCACCACCGCGCTCGTGTACGCCACACGCGGCGCGGGAGAGATACGTGTTATAAGTTCCGACGAATTAATTCTCCGCTGGGAAAACGGACGCCCCTTCCTCCTGCGGCCTTCGCCGCCGCCGCCGCCGCCGCGCGCGGCGGGACCAATTTTTCTTACGGCC